CGTCAGCTCGGCGGCGGTCTCTCCCGTTGGCCGCCTGAGCGCCGTGGGCGGACGGCGGCTGGAGGCCTTGTTTTGGAAGGCGACCCGTAAGTGTTTGTCCTTCCTCAACCGCTCGAGGTCGATACGGATCCGGCTGCTTCCGCTGTTCCCCCGCACTCGTCGGTTGGGTGCGACACGGGGGGGGAGGCGGACAGTCGTAAGCACGAGGTTGTGGTCAGAGTCTTTGAAGTCGACACGTTTGACGGAGACATTGCGCACGAAACGCCGGTCCGTCTGACGCATGAGGATGAAGTCGAGGCGGTACTTCTCCTTCCCCTTGTTGGAGCTCTGGAATGTGTGCTGCACTCTACCTTTCGGGCCCGGAAGTAGGTGTTGGTCAGGGAGAGTTGGTTGTCTGATGCCAGTCCAAGGAGCCGTTCCCCGTTGTTGTTCATAATGTCGCGTCCGTACGCGCCCATAATCTTGGCATCGCAGCACCCGTCTCGCCTCCTACCAGTGCGTGCGTTGGCGTCCATTAGCACCACGAGATGGTCACGGCTGTGAACCTCCCGGATCGCTGCGTCGAGAGCAGTCCAGAAGGAATCCTTGGTGTTAACATCACCGCCCGCGGTGGTGCGGACAGTGTTCGTGGGGGCGTACCCCACCACGAAAGTTACTCCGCGGTGCGGCCAATTAGTAGACGCGCCTTCATCAGCCTCGGGCTAATGCACTCCACCGTCCTACCTCTCTCGCCCACACTCTCCCACATGGCCTCCTTGATCGCTATGCCCACACCGTGTACGCCCCTCTTGTCCTTGGTGCCAGCACGGGCGCCACTCCAGATGATCACGTACCCGTCGTGTGCAATTGAACCTTGCCCCTCTCGTCGGGTCTCCTGAAGTCCTATCACATCACAGCCGGTCGCGGAACAAATCTGCATGACCGTCATCACGTTGTGACCGATGGGGTTCCTACCGCTGTAGGCGAGCGTGCGTACGTTGAACGTGCCGAACGATAGGTCGCCCTCTCGTGCCTTCTTCTTCGCAGCCGCTTTTACGGCCGCTGTGGTCTCGTGTCTCCCTCGGTCCACCTCGCGTTGCGGGTGTGCTTTCTTCCGTATTTTCCGAGCGGCGAGTTTCCTCGCATCAATCCATCTCTGCAGAGCTCGGTTCTTGCCTGTGGTGTTTTGACGAGGAGGGTGCAGCACTCCCTCCCCGCGGTGCCCGCGGTTGTCTCCCTTCTCCCGCGAGCGGTGCTTACTGACGTGGTGTTTACGAATCTCTCTACTCCTCCAGCTTCGTGGGCCACGCTTTCCGCGACGGTGGTTGCCAGGTGCAGTTTGCCGCATTCCATTTACTGCCGCGGGAACAGTGTCCG